CATGACGATAGCCGGTCAAAACGACGCCTTCTCCGATTCCGCAACCCTTCACCCTCGCGCTCGGCTCCATTCGCTTCCCTCTCGTCTCAGCCAGATAGCCTAGCCGCCGGCTCTTCCCCCGCCCTCCGTGGCCTACCGTCGAAGACCCGAGGAAAAAGGGATTTCTGAATGACACGTCGCCCCCCCCCCAACACCCCGCCAAGAAAGCGAGGAGATATAGATAGGTAGATCTTATCGGGGCCGCGCGTCTCGCCCGAATCGATTTGTGAATGACGGAGTGCGTCTGTCTGCCAGTCGCGGGAGTCCATTTCGTACCCTAATTGGACATTCGTATCATCATCTTCGGATGACGGAAGCGGAAAGCGAAAAAAGGAGGCCGGCCGCGATTGAACGGAAACGAGCGAGAAGTATAGGCGAACACACCAAGCGGACAAATGACGTTTATTTTTCCTTTTTTTCTTTTTCTTCGTCTTTGTCTTTAGAAGTATAGGCGAACACACCAAGCGGACAAATGACGTTTATTTTTCCTTTTTTTCTTTTTCTTCGTCTTTGTCTTTGTCTTCGTCTTCGTCTTCGTCTTCGTCTTCTTCTTCGTCTTCTTCTTCTTCTTCTTCTTCATCTTCTTTTGTTCATTCAAGATATAGAGAGTTGGGACCGATAGAGCGCGAGACGCCAAAAACAAACGCGTTCGATGTTTATTATCTCCTTTTGTCGTTTAGGCTTTTCAATTTGTCACGTGAAAGCAAACAAATAAATAAATAAAGACTCGGCGCTATCCGCAACTGAGCGCACTTCTGTTAATATTCTTTGAGCAACGTTACGTCACTGCAAGGTCTGCTCAAATCGTTTCGTTGAACAATTATACCAAGTGCCGTGACACATCGAAAAATTCTTTTATCTTAGGTTATTTATCAATAATTTTTTAATCTTAAGAATAATGTTTACGTGCAGAAATTGAGCTAGCATTAATCTGAAATAATGCCGGGAATTTCCGTAAGTGTATTTTATATTAAAAGCAGAAGAAAAATAAAAAGGCCAATGTATAGGATTCTGTAAGGCATTCGATTAAAGCGACAATTAATCGCGACGGCTGACTAATCGGCGGCAATTCGGAATTATACATTTGGCATCGGTTATTCTAATGTTATAAAAGCGCGCGTTAAGAACGATTTCCTTTTAAATAACCGAGCAATGGCTGATTTAAGCTTTATGTGTATTCTTCGCTGTTAACCTTAATATTCCACCACGTGGAATTGGAAATTTTTTTCTACGTTAAATTGCCTAGCATTGGCTTTCTTAATTTGACTTGTATGCAATTTTCGCAGGCTTTCGGCGGTTCAAGCCATTAAGCATAATAAGAACCTCTCACACTGGGTAAAAATGACCCATTAACGTTAAGTCAAACAGTTTTCTACAACGTCGCAAAAATGGGTCAAGCAGGTTCAATTTATATTAAATTTCGTTACGCTCGTGCGTAAAGCATAACAAACAAGAGAGAGAGGGAGAAAAAAATGTTTAATATTAACAACAGGGGACAAAGAGTCGGTAATGGGCCATAAGCTTCTATTATTTCGTAAAGAATGTTCGTGTAGCGTATTAGTATTCATGAGCTGCAGACCTTACAAATACTTGTGGGATCACGATCGTTGATAAGACGAAAAAGCAAAAGAAAAAAATGGAAAAAGAAAAATTGAAGGAGCCCAGAGTCATAAAACATCTGTGTCACTAATGTGTCGAGTCGCCTTTGACACCTGCGCAAACGAACAAGAACTCTATGCAATATCGTATTACTATAATCAACGTTACGAAGGTACAATGTCGTATAGATATAGTTCAGTTCAGAACATCGACATCGAAAAACAGATGTTCTTGAAGATTATATCCAGTTAATTTATTACCCCATGTCTGAGGTAGTGAAAAATATTTATAGACCAATTGGATACATTTATTATTTATTAACGATTGTACGAGTGCATATTAAGAAAGAGCCATAATATACGATTAAAGTTCTTTTTTTCTTTTCTATTTTTTCTTTTTTTTCGTTTTGTTCGTTTTTTTCTTTTATTAATATTTCCCAAAAGACATAAAAGAATGGTCTAAATCGTGGAAGAATATTGTGCAAATAATATATACTTACATGTGCTCGATACTTACAATTTTACAAATGAAAAATTTTTGTTTTCTCTCTCTCTCTCTCTCTCTCTCTCTCTCTGTGTTTTTTTTTTTGTGATTGTGGAATTTCTTCCAATCTCAATCAAGATTGTTCAAATTAATGCTTGAATAAGGCTGTTACCGAATAATTATTCTGCATCATTTGAAATTTTCCAATTGTTCACAAGATGCAAATCAGTGTTATTTTGATCTTTGAATAGCACGACATTTATGAAGAAAAAAAAAACAAGCATAATTCTGCAATCGTGGATAAATAAATGAAACACTATAAATTGACGTACACTACAACTACTTTTTAGCTCGTAAAGTGTAGTAGATTTGATAGTATATAACTTATTTATAACCTACCGTAAAACATCGATATACTAATAATCGATATTCTAATTTTCTAATATTTACAAACCAATAAGCGAATGATGTAGAGTAAAAATTACTTTATTTTAGAGTAAATGTAAATGAATTATTTCTTCGATCATTGTCAATTTCACGACTTAATAAGCGCTTCTTATTGAAATTGAAGTAAATTTCATTAGGAATTAAATAGGTAACGAATGCGAAAATGACTATGTTTAAACTTGTATTATATAGTATCAGATGATATTTCAGACCAATGGAGTTACAAAGCAGTCACATGTGGTCAGCTTTTTCATTACATGACAATAAGAGACACTTTTGACTATATAGTGAATAATTCATCATTCGCTTCAATTAAAAATCCATCAAGGCATTTGAATTGCTGTAGAAACGACAAATTTAGAAAATAAAGTCGATTGAAATGCGACGCATTGCAAATCTTATGCATTAATATAACGGAGAGCAAGAATTAGTAATAAAAGATACAATTTTTATGAAAGACAATCCACTGGAAATGTGTTAGAAAAGATCGAATGATGAAGGGGAAAAAAAAAAGAAAAAAAAAAGAAAAGGTGTAATTAGCGCGGAACATCAAGTTTCATTCGGCAATGCATTAACTATAAGCAATAATGATATTTACAAGGAATCCTATATAGCATTTTTAAACATATTTATACTAAACAAAAATTATAAAATACTATTGTTACCTACAAATACATTATTTAGTTACATAAGGCCAATCATATATTTAACATTAAATATATATATATATATATATATATATAGATATTTAAGAATTAATCAGTGGGACAATATCTTATAAACTATTTTTACCTGACGCAATTCATGCTGAATTATAGATATCTTATCAAGAAAAAAGCATTAATATTGTTTCGACCTCCCAGAACTAACGTTTTCTACTCCGACGACTCTCCGCGTCTGTTTTACTAATATATTCAAAAATATACACTACGCAATAAAAATGACTATATGCCACAAAATTACCTATTAATTTTTATCTGTATATACTTCAGCTTTTCGTGAGTTATTTTACGATGATAATGTATATTAATTATATTTGAAGGAGAATTACGGGCTGAGATAAGCGCCGCGGGTACAAGAGCACAAATGACAAATCGGCGACAAAGTCTGTCGAGTGACATCCGAAAATGAAATATGTATAAGTAATCGTCTTTATAATCCCTCATTTAATATAGAGCTGCATAGATAAAACAAGTAATTGTGATATCAGAGTTACAGATAACTAGGACGCTCGCTGCTAACATTGTATTATGTGCATTTATAATTTTGATTTGTCGTGCAGTCGAACGCGATGAAAAGTAATCTAATGTCTACTCATCGTCATCGTTTCACTCAACCCAATAAAAACTTTAGCATTATTAGTATAATCGTATGCTACTGCTCAATCGATTCAAGCGGTGATTAGAGACAAAATGATAACTCAAGTGGTACGTTCAGCATGAGAACATCGCCATTGCACTTGAAATGTCTTTAGCTTACGAGGCATATAAATATGTGCAATTTTCTTTCTCAGACTATGATATTGAGTCCGTGTCATAAGATGTACATGGTTAAGCATAAAACAGCAAAGTTTCTATTTCCAACAACTTGGCCGTAGTCACGATTGATAAAAGTACACTCGAACTTTTTATAATGAAAATAAAAGGTCAAGCTGGATTCGAATGAAGAAACAGTCAGCGACTAAACAACGATGCGCTTTTATTTGACAATCGAATAATCCGGAGTACTTTGATCGCGACTCGCCCTAATTGAACTACTATGTTTTTGCCGTTAAGGGCACCTAGAGAAATTCAAAAAGCGAAATTCGCGAGCTCAATGTTCACTTTATCAATTATAATGAAATCGAAGGAAAAAAGAACGAGTGCAGTGCGGCTGTCGTCGACGCAAGTATACTTTTTCAATCTATAAAATTTATGTGCACTTATGGGTTATAAGGCGATTTCAAGAGCGTTGCGGACGAATGAAATACTTCTTATCATAATGAAAATAAAATTGGTCGCTAATGAATGGCAGATAAAAAGTTGGGGGGACTTGCCTGCATTGTTCGGCACGAATATTTTGTTTATAAACAGTGTTTAAAATATAAATCGCGCGGGATCGCGAGCTGAACGTTTCATAAGGAGTCCGTAAAATAACACAGTTTCACCATGCTTACCCCCCTCCCTCCCGCCCCCACTCATACCGCGCACTGTTCCCGCTTATGGTACTTAAAGTTCGAAACCGCGCAACAACGGTGTTTCTACCACGCGGAGAGTTTTCAATTTAACTGTGAATGAGGCGATTGTAAGATCGGTGCCCCGCATGGTGGTGCAGTAGTGAAAGTGCATCCCGGGCTTGGGGATTGCGCGTCGACGTTGCCGTCGTCGGTCCCGTTGCAGTACTGTGCGCCGCCGCCCTGGAATTCGTCACGTAGAGAATCGTCTTGGACTTACCGACTCGACGAGGTACGAGTCCCAGAGCTCCCTAAGGTCGCTGGTTCCCACGTCGTAAAACTCCATCCTATCGTCGGCGAGGAAGGAAGCTTTCGGCCTCCCTCTCGCGCTCTCTCTCTCTCTCTCTCTCTCTCTCTCTCTCTCTCTCTCTCTCTTTCTTTTTGTACTGGTGAGTGAGTGTGTGTGTGTGTGTGTGTGTGTGTGTGTGCGTGCGTGCGTGCGTGTGTGTGTGTGTGTGTGTGAGAAGATCTCTCACTCTCTCTCTCTCTCTTGTCCTCTCTCTCTCTCTCTCTCTCTCTCTCTCTCGCTATGTCTGTTTCTCTCTCTCTCTCTCTCTCTCTCCCTCTTTGTTTTTTCCCTCTTCCTCTGTGGATGTCGGTGTTGGCGGTCTTTCTCAAGATGCTCGCGGAGCCTTACGCTCTCGCAATGCTGCCGGGTGATTTAACTCGGCTGAATTAAAGCATCGTGTCTCCTTCTGCTTTCGCTGAAAAATAAGCCAGAGAGCTTAACGATCGATTGTCCGCTTAATAATTACAATAATGCCGGCGACAATCTTATCGTTGAGGCCTTTCGCTCGCATTTTAATTCGCTGATCGATCCGTACAGCGATGTCAATACTACTACGTACGGTCTAACCCTTTTTTTTTTTATTTTTCTTTGGCTAGTTTCTAACCACTCTTCTCCCCCCCCCACCCTCTCTCACTCTCTCTCATTTCTCATTTATATACAGATTTATTACGAATGATGTATGGCCTTATGGCTAATTACTTTTTATCGTTAATGTAACCGATCGTCCTTCTAATGAAGGTGAAACTCATGCCGTATAATAGCAATTTCTCTACTGGGCAAAAGTTCTTCCATGAGCAGATCATAGGGAATCATGATTCATTGCATAAATGTGCACATGCGTGCGCGCGTATAGAGAGAAAGAGAGATATGAAAGGCTGTATGAGCTAATTGCATGATTATTTAAAAATTATTTTTCCACTGAAAACGTTTGAATTACTCATAATGGCTTCGACATTTATATTGTCACAAAGCATTGAATAAAATTTCGAACAGTTTATTATCATTATTATTATTATTATTATTATTCTCATAGTTCTCTTATAGTCGTTGTTGCTTTTATGTATTATTTAGCCGTATACTATTAACGAGTAAGTAAAATTAGTAAAAATTTGTCGAATCAATTTTATTGTAAAGATAAATAATTACAGTAGAAAGCCATGTGTCTTCGTATACTAATAATAATAACAACGCGCTGACATCATTAGAACAAAAAACAGTATTTGATTTATTTCGCAGGCAAATTAGCGCTCTTTATTAACTAGAAACGAAAAATCTTTCATGTATTTAACATTACATATATTTTCAAAGAGTATCAAACATTAAATAAAAATGAATTTAAATTAATACCCTAACGCACAACAAGCAATACCAATAAATTTTCTTATTTAATATTTATTTTACACGCAAATGAAGTCACTACGCGCAATTCAATATTATATTCAATAAATTATCATTAATAACATTAATTTCATTGTCCTTAATAAATCAGTCTTTCTATCTACATCGATCGATGCGCTTGCCGCAGAAATCCGCTATACATCGCGTTGCTCGTAAATAGAATACCGCAAACGACATTAATCGAATAGCCATGTAGGAGGACTATTGTCGCCAGTGAAAAATCCACGACAAACGCGATATAAAATTACTTTACTGACAAGTCGAATGCACTATTGTTAAGAGCAAGAGATAGAAGGAAAGGATGACAGTGACTGAGTGAGTGAGTGAGTGAGAGAGTGAGTGACAGAGAGAGAGAGAGAGAGAGAGAGAGAGGTGGGGGATTAAAAGTGTGGTTTGTTTTGGGGGGGGGGGGGTCTCTCTCAATAGTAATATTAAGAGGCTCGTTAGAGGCATTGATGAAATGCCTTTCATTTACAGTGATCAGCGCGTTTGATGACACAACTTTGCTTTGTCTCATATTCAGTATGGCTATCTTCTCCAATACAACCGTCAGACTTACGACGAAGCATCCTTTTGCCTCGAGCATCGCACATGCTCGCACGACGCGTAAACATAAATACATAAGGAGCAGCCGCGCTCTAAGGGAACAGACACCGCGCGACGACGTATCCTCGCAAGACGACATCCGCGTCCGAGACCAACATCCAAACGGTGCGCCGTTGAAATTATCCTCGAGCCCGGGGAGCAGCAGCCTTGTACTTGGTTCCCAAACCTGGGCGTCTTCTCCCACGTGCGCCGCCGAACGCAGCTACGCGCCGACTGTCAGCGGAGGAGCCCCACACACGACACTCGGCCATCGAAAACCGCCGGCGGCTATTTTAGGACATAATGAGTCAAGGTTTCCTGGGACTAGCCCGATGCGGTTACGAGTAAACCCGGGCCTTACGAGAGCTCTTTTCGAGGAACGGGACGCTAAACTGCGCTCGCGACGCCCTGAAGTACATCGGTGGTAATCGTGATACCGAGTTGAGTCGACTCGACTGCGCCTCTCCCTCCCGCCCATACCCTGCCGCGATAAAATTGCACGATGAGAAGTGCGATCGGCCGCATTTTGCCGCATTCTGGTACGAGAAGCCACTTTATAATGAAGTTTCGGTGAGTGAGCGCGAAAATCCTGGCAATTTTCGGCACGCATCTTTAGAAATGCAACGAGATAAAATGATAATCCAATTAGAGTAACAAATTCGTAGATAGAATCGATGGTTTATTGGACGAATCCGGGGACTTTAGATTTTCGACCTTTCGTCTCGAGAAGTAGGAAGGATATGATGAACATCAAGATCGATAATTAAAAGCCCATAAGAAGCTAAGTGCGCACACGGACTTTAAAGGAATGGTAGTCTCGGTAGAGCGAACCGAAATCGTAATGTGCGGCGTAGCGTAACGGAACAGCGGATTCTCTTAACAGCCTCGAATTGCGAAATCTTAATCCGAAAAATAAAATCGGGTTAATCGGCGGTCGGAGTGACGTTTTCCTTGGTAAGCCATATGTCAATGTATAATGGGAGTGAATAAGCGAGGAAGAAGGAAAGAAGGAAGGAAGGACGGACGAATGGAAGGGAGGGAGAATGGTAGGAAGGAAGGAAGCAAAGGAAGAAAGGAAGGAAAGAAGGAAGGAAGGAAGGAAGGAAGGAAAGAGGAAAAGAGGGAAGGAGGACGGGTGGGAGGGACAAAAAAAACGCAATAAGTCGGCGGCAGTGCGGCTGAAAATAGCGCGCGAAGCGGAAACGCACGCTTGCTTTATTGTGCCGGTGTGGGTGGCAATGGTGGCGGTGGGTGGGTGGGGGGGGGGGGGGGGGGGGGAGGGCCTATGGACGTTTCGATCGACTAAGCGCTGCCACGATCCGCTCTCTTCGTCATTGCAAAATCGGTGACATTGGTGACAGTTAGCTGGTCGTTCGTAATTAGGTTGGATTAAAAATCCAACGAGCGTCGCTCTTACTCCAGTGGATAATGTGACTGGCCGTCGTAGTGGTGATGCAGTGCCTGGATAATACGCGTATGATTTAATTAACCGCGACGCGTTCGAGCGAGTGGGGGGGGGGGGGGGGGGGGGGGGTGGGGGGGGGGGGGGGTGGGTGGGGGGGGGCGGGGTAGAGTTATATACGTGCACATACGTGTGAGTATATTCGTACATACGATTACTTATTTTTCGCGAGGGCAGGTAAGCAAGAATCTTGAAAAGGCAATAGGTAAAGAAATGCACTAGTGATAACGAACCGGTTTACAGGATTCCCGGAGCTCTTTAAAGTCGAGGGCGAGGGAAAGACGCTTTACTTTTCTTCTCCCACCCCCGCCTCTTTGCATCATGCATTTACGATCCATAGAAATGGCCTTCTTAATTGATTTACGAGACGGATGCGATTTTTCGGAGCGGCACTCGTCGCTAACCTAGTTGTGCGCTGCCGTCGTCGTTGGTTAGAAAGAAGGAGCGAAAGAAAAAGAGAGAGGTAGAGAGTGAGAGAGGCAAATAGGGGGAGGAGGGGGTAGCACAGTGGAAAGGAGTAAAAAAGAGATGAAGAGAGATGAAGAGAGATGAAGAGAGATAGAGATAGAGAGAGAGAGAGAGAGAGAGAGAGAGAGAGAGAGTTTGATAACACGGATTCGAAAATTTCATGATTAAAAAAATCAATTCCAACGGGATTATCGAGCGTAGGTGAGCGCCCATACCATAGTCTAATATTTGCAACTTGTTGATCGTGCGGAGGAAGCGACGCCGCCGCCACCATCGTCGCCTTCGCCGCCGCCACCGACGACGTATTTGTAAATACGAACTGATATTTCATCGAGCATGTTAATGTACAATATGTGTATGCTGATCGGCCGCTATTATGTCATAATTTGTTTGTATTGTTGGAAAAAGCGTCGCGCGCACGCCATTAAATAATCGTAAGCCTATTCGCTGGACCGTTGATGAGCTGAGCAAGAGCATGAGCTCATCGTTAATCTTCATCAATTCTAAACAATCTGGGCTGAGAACAGAGTTGTATCAGCCTTATCACAGGAGCGATAATGTATGGAGGAGCTCGGTGAAGGAAATCGTCCGTCACGTACGGTTGTACAATTAAGGAGAATAAAGAAAGCCGACGTGCATACGGGGTAGGGCTTTTCACGACAAAGAAATTATCACTTATCGCGAGTGAAGGGCGAAAAACATTAAGTAGCGGTAGCGGCGGCAGCGGCAGCGGTAGCGGCAGCGGCAGCGGCAGCGGCAGCGGCGGTGGCGGCGGCGGCGGCGACGACAAGCAGCGACGCATACTTGTCGAAAGTACCGCTAGCGTGCAATAACTTTCCTCACCGATTAATTGCGCTTCTCTTACTATAGACTGGAAACGCCGACATAGCGAAGGCTGCTCGCGAAGAAGCGGACGACACGGACAAAAGAATTAGAAAGTCCTTGTCGGCGCGTAGCGGCGGAACGCGGGGGTGTAGCACGGAGGCGAAAATCGATGCGGTTCGGGATGTTCATGGCTATAAACGGCGGCTAAGGGGCCGCCCGGATAGAGAAAGCGGCTGCGCGAACTCGCGGGTCTTCGTCGCGGGTCGGCCTTTAAATCCCGCGAGGTGCGCACGTGATCGAGCGGGCGCCTCCGTGGGGGCTAAAAACG